TGTGCGTTAGTAGTATAGGATTCACTTTGTGCTATCGTTCGCGGCGAAATTGACCGGCCCACTCAAACTTAAAAATGAATACCTAAACTAAATTGTATAAAAAATTCAAGCTTACAGCAACAAGTTTTTTTTTAATATATTTTTGACACTTTCAAAAATATACGACTTGATGACGTGCATGGCTGAGGGGTGTCAGGCGATGCTTACCGTTACTTCTAGCCTTACAGACAGACCGTTACTCGGAAGGTTCAGTAGCTCTTGGTCTATAATGTCATTTCGATAACAAGTTTACAAGCAGGTGACGTTATACTCCGACGAACGAAATTATAGTAATATTATCAACTATTTGTTTGTCAGAATTGTGAAATCGCTCCCAATATTCATGTTTAATACACATGGCAATAATTATTACTTTTTTATACAATAAAATAGCATATTGTGTGAGATAAAATCTAAATATGAGACTAAAAATTTAAAAAATCAAAAAACCCGACGGCTTAAATATTACTTCAAATAAAAATGAAAAAAAAAACAAGTCCAGTAGTCTATTATTCTGTTAAGACAAAGCTACTTTAACAGTCGAGTCGAGACCCATAATTGAAAAAAAATGATCCATCCTTGAATATCTAATGGATCCCGACTGTTAAAGTAGCTTTGTCCCTTACATAACTGAATAATACTACTGGACTTGTTTTTTTCTTTTTAGTTTTTATTTGAAGTAATATTTATGAAGTCGGGTTTTTTGATTTTTTAAATTTACCTTTTTTATTTTACACTTTTTAGTTAGGATTATGAGACGGTATATACTGCAGTTTTGTCACTTCAATAAGGGTGTTAATATCAAGCGGATTTGTACCTTGCGATGGTCTAAACGACACCTTACCATCAGGGTCAGGGCCTTATGGACCTCAATTTTCGCAAAAATGTGTTAAGTTAAATCAATTCCTTATCCGTATATCTAATGCATGTAAATTATATACTTAACTAGTACTTATTTTTCGTATTTATTCAAAAAGTCATCTTTTGCGTTTGTTTTTAGTAGTAAATAAAAAATTCATTTACTTTTATTTGTCAACTATCTAAAATTGGCAGTGGCTGTATGCAACTCTAAGATTGTGTTGTACACAAATGCAGTGCATCTCCTTGTCTCATAATTTGTTTTACTTACATAATTCACAGAACCACATAATAATATGTAGGTGCCAGAGGCTAAATATTATTTATTCTAATTATCTATACTAATAGGTAGGTATTATGAAGAGGCAAGACTTGTATGTGTGTAACAAATAATGTCTCAAACCTGATCCGATTTCGAAAATTCATTCACCATAAGGTAGCCAGCTACATTATTTAATATATTTTTAAGCATTAATCTCAATAAGTACCTAGATTAATCTGCTCGATTTATAAAACTAAGGAAACGTTTACTTGAAAAATAAATTTTAACAACTTCTCCGAGAGGATTTTTTTTCCTTATAACTACATTATATTCGAGCGGGAGAGGCTATCTATATGCTATCCCGTTAAAATAAATTTCGCCCATGCAATGTCGGAGCGGATCACTAGTATAATATAATATTATAGATGCGAAAGTGAGTATGTTTGTTACGATTCCGCGCCCTAATAGCTAAATCGATTATGATGAATTTCCCTAAAGAAATAGATGGGGCCTTGGTTCTAAGCTACACTTAAATTTGACAACAGTGTGTCCTTGTCATTCTCTATACAGAATGACTTGATGTCAAATTTAGTTTTAAGTTTAGAGAGTCACGCCAGAATCGACACCATTATCGAAATATATAGGGTGAAATTGAATGTTTCTATGAAACTTCGTGAGATTGTTGGGTTATGTGTATAGAGTATGCCTGTTTTTTTTCGGATTTTTTTGAAGTATATTTTTTTCATGTATTTATTTATAATTTGTGTATTTTTATGTCCTTTCCTCCTTTTGAGTAGTTATTCGTTTTAAACAAACAAACTTACATATCCAGTGAAAAATAACTAATAAATAAGCACTTCTAAAAAAACGGAAAAACATTAAATTCCACCGCGGGTCAACGACCGACCGCGCCCGCCAGCCGTTGAGTGAGTTGAGGTATCACTACACAGAGCTCAGCTGACTCGTTCGATTCCACACAATACAATACAATCGTCTTAGATGCCTTTATTGAAATTGAAATAATAAGCACAAATGTCATCTTCTCTTAAGCAGAGAAAAACTTTAAAAGTTAATAATAATTTTGTCACGATTGGAAATAGGCAAATGTTAAACAAAAAGAAATACTTATTGCAGTTCAATACTTGGGTCAGAATGAAATTTATAACCCGGTATTCAAAAGTACTTACGAGAGCGGCGATGTAGGTAGGTACAACGAGGAACGAGGAACATATTCATTTTTTTCACTAGAACTTTTTATCAAATCAATCGCACTGGTAGTACACAATTAGTTGTTTCTAATCAAAAAGTATTTACACTAGCAATAAAAAGAGACTAAAATTATTATCTGCAAAATTGTTGCTCTAAACCACCATTTTGCTGCAAACAAAGGTAGGCATGTTTGCGGACGTGTCTTTTCACCTTTTTTAAATCACTACTCACTGCACAAAATGCAACTTCTATGGTTTGGGGACTCATTCGTAAACCAAACCTACTTCGTCACACTCGCGATAGCAGTACACTATCTCTAGGTATTCTTGGTTCGTATACCGAGGCATAATGAAATTATCACAGTGTATGTCACTAAGTCAAAAAATGCGCACGCCCACGCGCGATTGATATACTTGCGACTGCGTTTTGCATGCAATCAAAGCAAACCACCGCGTGCGGGGTAGAGGGGAGGTGGGCGGAATTCACATCATCAAAGACGCCGCAACCGGCGCTAGTTGCCAGCGAGGGGGCGCGCCGCCCGCCCGTGCTTGCCGCAAAACAACATATTATTACGTGTGTGTGCGTGTGTGTGACTGTGGCTGTGATTAAATGTGTTGGGAATTTCATGACGTGGGCAAATCAGACACGAAGAGTTCCTTCCTTCACTAAGCTCGTAAGTTATACCGATTTGCTCTGTATGATTTTTCCCAATTTAATAAGCCGTTTGTGCTTAAGTTTTAATTAAACGAAGCAACTAACATTAACAATAAAAAAGAAGTTCTTACACTAACAGACAGGCTTTACCGATTTAAAATCGTGACAGTCATATTAACTTTATAGGATTTTTAATTGCTCTAACAGAAGATTTATTTTATTGATTAATTACCTGTGCTTTATGAAACAATATTCAAAGGTATTGTGTATCAGTGAATAAATAATTATAATAAAGCATCTAAGACTATTTTATTGTAATGTTTTTAAATAGTGTGGATCAAAGCGGAGAGTAGGTAAGTGCCGAGTCATCTGTGCGTGTAATAGGTACAAACACAGGCGGCCGTGGTCGTCGCCCCGACCGGCGCTGATCTCGACTGAAGGCATAATGAAGGCATTCATTAAGTTTCCGTTTTTTTAGTAGTGCTTATTTTAAGTTGCTTTATAACTTCTATGTAGACGTGTTTAAAATGAATAATTACTCATAAGGAAGAAATGACAAAAAAATAACCAAATAAAAAATTAAAAAACGAAAAATTTTATTTTAAAAAATCCGAAAAAAATCATGCATTCTGTATACACGTAACCCAACAATCTCACGAAGTTTCATAGAAACATTCAATTTCACCCTGTATATAGGGGCAGGGTGATGGGAGGGCTGATTTACTTAAAAAACTTTATTATTTTTGTTTCGAATTTTGCAGAATTATATGCAGAATAATATGAAGTAATATCGTTAAAATAAACTTTGAAAAACCGTTTTATTCTCAGTTTTTAATTAAATTTAAATAAATATAAATACCTATTATGATAACTTATTTTTCATCATTTAATAAAAAAGAACTTTATCACAGTTTTATTATAAGTACTTCGTATAGGATTAGATACTGTGAGTAGCCCATTTTTTTTCCTTTCCTCCTAGGTTTTATCTACGTTTATAAACACCAAAATTCATCACTTTTCCCACCATTCCCGCAGTAAACTCGTACTCCTGCATAGCACAACGCGCTTTGTCATCGTAACATCGTTGTAACTTTTTAAATATTTGTCGAAATTACACAAAGTAAAAGGCAAAGTTTATCGTCTTTAAATATCAAAAACGATAAAATTATTTGTTTTGATAAATAATAATTTGTTTTTACAAAATATGCATTTTGGAAATTTATTTCAAATTATATTTTATTTTTGATTCACTATTTTAGCTATAATGGCTTACACATTAAAAATAGATATATGCTGTCCTGGATTTTTTTGTAGAACTATATAAGAGATACAATTCCACCATACATTATATTCATGTAACTTATTGTTTTTGCAGTGCAGGCCAAAATGGCTCGCAGATGCGAATCTTTTTCGTCTCACGTGACACCACTATTTTGACCTATCCACCAAATAACAACATAAATTATAATCTATATGCTATTATTATATATGAGCTTTATTATTGGTTAGTTTGATGAAAATCCATTTACTATTTTTTGAGTGAGAGTTACAAAGATCCATACAATACGTAAAATTGAAATTAAAAGCGCAAGTTGTTAATATACAACTTGGTGTAACGAACCTAAACATGATTTACGATTATCTAGACAATGATATCCCACTCGACATATTTCGGCAACTTATTTTTTTCTTTCTCACAATATGGCGCCCAGTTGTCTCCATATTGATTTTTGATTATTATCATATCTTTAGTAGCACGATGATGATTAAAACGAATCGATTGATATATAAATCATCGAAATCGGTCCACGCGTTTGGTCTCTAGTGTGCCACAAAGGAACAAACATACATATTATTATATAGACTGTTAAACACTATAATACCCTGTCTGCCCGTCGCGCTCTTGCATTGCGCAGTCGGGTAAAAAGTGGTCGGTAAAGTTACATACTGAATGAAAATAGGCTGAGAACTGAAACAATTACGATTCACGTCAAAATTTATTTTATGAAAGGCGGGCCTAGATCAATTATATTTATTTAAAATACTATTCCTAAAATTACATACATAGTTATTATGTACAAAACGTAAACAACACTTAGGTACTTAGGCTTAAAATATTTACACAAATAGACAGGTCCATAGGGTGCAGCCTTGACCGTATATTCCCAGTCGCCCTCGCGAGGATTGTCACCGGAGGCAAATGGGGAAAAAAAAACTATACTGTGGGCAATGAAAGGCAATCCCCGCGGGGAGGACTGGGAATAAACGGCCTTGACATGGCATTTGCCGCATGTATGAACTATCCCTGGTCGTAGCCCCGGTCAAATGAAATTACTCGTGTTCTTTTCTTTATTGTCGGCTTTCTCCGATTCATACAGAAATTTCATGTCCCGTAGTGAGAGACACGAGAAAAACTACTCGGTAGAAACAGATAGATAACTGCGGTCTATAGATTGCCGAAGGTGGAAAGGCCGAGTCAGTTCAGACGACGTTGACAGGAGCAGCAACACAGATTTGACAATGAAGCGAATTTGTGCCGCCTCATTGTCAAATACAGACAGTAGACAATATTCTTTAAACATAATGACCGAGGTATTATACAAAATTAATTATAAAACCAACACAGCAAACAATGCCTGGCCAAGCTGCTCGCTGTGTGGACCCACTTATAAAATAATTAAACTTGAACATATGTCAAATCAGTGAAAAAAATCACTATTAATATTGATAATCCCAAAGCTGGATGAGATTTAATATAATCCTAACTTGTAAATGGCGAAATTCCATCAGTTTCTCTATTAAAGTTCTTATATAATAAAAATAAGTTTCTGCACTTTTTTTTAAATTAAAAAAGGAGCTACTTGTATGTATTTAAAATACATTATTTATTTATAATTTCATGGTTGGAACGGCAGATAATTAATCTGTTTCTGTATAAGAGTTTAAAATTGGCTTCTGCACTTACTTACAATTTATATGAAACCAAAAATACCATACATTCAAAATATTTACTATATAAAATAGTTAAATATATTATTTATATTATAATCCCATACTTGGATGAGATTTAAGGTAACCCTAGCTAGACTATGGCGGAAATTCTGTATCTGTAGATGAGTCAAAAAATAAATGTACACTTAACTTACACAAGAAAAAGGAACAAAAATTAATAAATTCATAAATGATACTAATTGAAATATACATGTAAGAGAAATTAAAGTTAAACACTATACATAAAGTGTATAGACAAAAATAAACTACTCAAAACAAAATAAGGCCCACTGGAAATTTGCCTCAAATGTTGATTATAAATAACTCATTAGTGGATCACTGGCAAAATAAAAGTACTTTCACTATTACTAGATATATTTACGAGTTCGTAAAAATGTTTTGAGCGTTTACTTTTTTATTTACTACAACAAATACAAAATTTAATATACTATGGGACAAAAACAAGGTGGGCTCATATTTTTCTTTGAGAAGTTTAATTTGATAGAGACCTATGTCATAGTAAATGCAATGTCAAAATATATAAAAATAAATATTCAAGCCTGTAAGTCACTAATTAAGTTTTAAATACTAGACAGTAATGCTGCTCAACAATTATTCTTCAAATTTAATGGAATGGACGCCGGTGTCGATGGCGCCCCCGCGGTATGAACCGCGCTTTTTCTTAGTTTTTTCATGTTTGAAAGATTTGCCACGAGTGTGTTTCAAATCCATGCTAGCACGTTCACCCCATGAACCGCGGGCTCCACTCTGCAACAAATTATATTCTATCATCATCATCAGCCTATTAATGTCCCCACTGCTGGAGCACAGGCCTTCCCTATGGATGGAATAGGGAGTTTGGGCCATGACACACCACAGGGGCACAGTGCGGATTGGTGGGTGCTAACGACTGCAGATGCAGCCAGGATCAACGAGTTAACGTCCGAAGCACGGAGGAACTCGAGATAGTAAATTTTTGGTCACCCATCTAATGACCGACCACTAACCACCCGCGCCATCGAGATTGTAGCTTGATCAATATCAAATTTTACTTTATGTGCTAAATTAATGATTTTGAAGATCTACATAAAATAATTCTCTTTTAATTTAAATACAAATTAGTTTCACTACTGGGCGCAAAGAGAAAAAAGAATAAGACAAGCTTGCATTGCATTTATGCATAATTGTGTCTCTGTTTATTAAGTTACATTTACATTTCATGTGAATAAACAACTCTATTTAATTTCAATTAATGATTCACTTTAATCAATAATTAATTAAATAACTCAAAAATCACACTTGATGGAGTGGAAAACAGGTGAAGGATGCCGGCAAACGAAAAACGCGGTTCCGGCGGTAAATAAAAGTTTTGCCCGCACCCTTACCAGACTAAATAGGGACAAACTTCGCAGGATTATAGGATCCCTGACTGGCCATTGTCCCCTAAACAAACACCTATATACAATAGGAGTAACGGACAGCCCCCTGTGCAGAGGATGCATGGAGGCGGAAGAAACGCCACAGCATGTCATCATGGAATGCAGGAGTGTGGCCGACCAACGGGCACGACTTCTCCAGTCACCAGAATCGTTTCCGGAAGCTTGCAGCAGTCTACCAAGGTTGCTTTCCTTCTGGACCGATTTAGGCTGGCTGGAGTAAACGGGAATGTTTTTGAGACACGCACAATGGTCCAATAATTAGGACTAAGTGCGGAAACCGCCCTGAAGAACTAAAGAACTAATCAATAAATTGTAAATATCCCTACTCCTTACTACTGAAACACAGGCCATAAGTATATACCAGTGGTTTCTCAATAACTCGAACCGCGTTAAGTCAAAATGCTCAGTAAGTCGAAAAAAATTGCCAGTCCCTTCCGCTGAACCCCTAAATACGCGGTATCTCGAATTATTTAGACTTTATAACTGGAACAAAATGTTGTTCCCCTACGAAGTTTTGATAAAACGTTACATGAATCTCCTTCGCTCGAAGAGCGAGATAGAAGATTTTTTTAGGTTGTCTCTCTGGTCGTTTTTATCTCGCGTCCATTTTCTTTAATCTGTGCACTTTTGAATTATTATGTTTCTGCCTTTATCAAGCAGTAGGCTGTATGGACGTTGTTCTCTTTGCCTTCCCGGCAAGAGAAAACGAACTTGAGAAAAAACTAATGTCACTTGACTTCACGACGTAATTTTTACGTAAAACATGTAAGAATCTTAATCGTAATTTATAAATTGATAATCCATTGGATTGTCGATTGTTTTTAATGATGTAATATTTTACACCGTTTGCGCGGAATGTCAGCGATCACATTCCAAGCTTAATTTGTTTATAAAACGCGAAAAGCGTTTTTTACTTGGATTTTTTTATTTGGATTATTTCATTCAAATTTCAACATTTCCCGTGATGTGGAGGTGAATCCCCGTGTTGTAACAACGGCCATCCCTTACATATTTGCAACACCAGACATATTTAACTCCAAAGATGCAACGAGGTCGGTAATCTTCTAAATTCATAATTGTGTTTCGGCCCCCATAATAAAGGTAACATTTTTACCTACATCTTGGTAGCTTTAGTATATAAAGTAGTTTCAAAATTTAGCAGTAACCCTTTTGGACAAGTAATTCTGTAGCAAATTTAAATAAATTGACAACCCAAAATGAATATGGATTTGCGTTAAACTCCCCTCGCGATTAATGGTCCATTGCTTTCCCGGCTAATAATATGGTACAGGCCAGGCGCCAGAGTATTCTTTTTTAATTGATTTCGGCCTGTCCATTCAAAAATTTATTATTTTTAACTATTACATTTGCCACCATTGCTTTTTTATTTTTTCTATTACAATAACTCGAATTTAAAAAGGAGAATCCGTAAGTCGTAGTTAGTAAAATATAATGACGTCTTACTTGGAATTCCCCGAAATAGCAATAAAATCCAAAATGAAAATTCGGGTTTGGGGCTTGTCTCGTATACGTGCAATGAATGAATACATTCATGAAACTTACTTAGTAACACAGCTGTGAAGGTTATGTTTGTTTTTTGTCGACACAGGACACAATTACTTTTAGTGGAGCTTGTCCGTCAGTATTATTGTGGTATTTTTATTCCACAAGAAAATGATTAAGGAGAAATGAAAAATATTACTTTTCATTGACAACTGTACAGCTCACAACATGCAACATAATTCGAACTTATTATGAAAGCTGTGATGATATCGAGGATCATGTATTCGGTTCATAGTTTGAGCTTGAAAAAATAATTGATAAAAAATCTGCAAATTGTTTAAATCAAAAAATAACGGATTTTTTTAGTGTACAGTTTACTTCATTAATATGTAATTTGTTTTAATATGTAAAATATATACATAAAACGTAAGTTGAATTCTTATTCAAATTCGACTCTACGAATCGAAAAATACACTTAGAAATCGCGCCTCTGTAAGTCGAAAGGACATGGTAAAGTTTTGTATGGGCGACTGCCCTGACAATGTATAAATACTGTACTTAGTAATATCTAATGTCCAACGGCTGAATATTCATAATTTCTATGAAAAAAGACTCAGGAACTTTTGATAAAGTCACAATCTTGAAAATTATGAGAACTTCTACTATGTATATTATTACCTTACTACAGTTGACAAACGATGTTGCCAATTAATTACAGAGTCATCAATTTCGCATTTTCTTTCAGCAGTTAAGTCATATGTATATCCAAGTTCTTGTTAAGTCCAAAACTTGTTAACTCGATTTTTTTTGCATTACCCTTGACATTCGAGTTATTGAGATTCCACTGTATATATATATATATTCACTTGTGGCCCCAGTACGGATTAGATGTTCACTGTAGCCGAGACAAACGGCTGAACGTGTATTCTGAAGTATGGAGGAACTAGAGTTAATAATTTTTTGATCACCTGTGAAAACAGCTTCACTTCCATGATGTAAGACCGAAAGCGAGAGCCACTGAGATTACATCCTGTTTAATAGTCAAGCTTATGCTAATAACAGTTCAAGATTAACTTCAAGTAATTTATATTACAAAATATAGTATATTTTTATCAATTAATAGAATGGGTCAGAGTTCAAGATTAATTAGAATAATTGTAAGTTGGAATTAAATTCTAACTAAAAAGTAAAGTATATTCAATAAACTTACCTTATTAATCAAAGACTATTTTCTTGTTTTTGTTATCGTTATTGTCAAAGCTCTTGCGGTCGTTGAATCCTCCTTTATTAAAGCCCCCTCGGTCACCGCCCCAGGAGTGCCTGTCGCCGCGGCCCCCGCGGAAACCGCCCCGACCTCCTCTGTCACCACCCCTACCTCCCCTGTCGCCTCCCCTTCCCCCTCTATCGTAACCGCCACGACCTCCCCTGTCAAACCCACCGCGACCTCCTCTACCCCCGCGTCCGCCTCTATCGTTGAATCCCCCCCTCCCTCGAAAGCCCCCTCTGCCCCTGTCGTTGAATCCTCTACCGCGGTTGAACCCTCCGCGACCTCTATTTTGCCAGTTCCCACTCTGATTACCCTCACCCTCTTCGTCAACACCGTTTTCTTCCGCTTCACCCTCCTATTGAAAAATGAGAAGTTTGTGAAAACCAAGACAACCCTATGTATATTCTCCTTTCAAATGCATGGAAAGTAAATGCCCGAAACCATAAAGCCATAAAGTTTCACTAATATGTTTGTAACTACACATGGAGTTGCCTTGGCTTTTATAAAATTTTAGGGCATTTACCTTAGCCTCGAAAGAATTATCCTTAAGTCTAGGGTCCACTTCAACCTTTTCAGACACAACTCGTCGGAATGGTTTATTGTTTGTTTCTCCATTTATTTTCTCATTTGGAGTAGAAACGCTGCATGTTCCCTAAAGTAAAAAGTCAATATACTATAATTATATACTACATAAAATTATACTTTTAATATAAAATAAATAAATATGGTATATATTTATTTATTTTATGTCTGTAAACAAATTTCTTACTTTCAAACCTATAATTATAAATATTTGGAGATACTTATTATTATGAAGTTATACGATACAATAAACTATTGGAGTATGAAGTTATTCGCTTCTTAAAGGGACATATTTAATCTTTTTCAGTATACTACATAAATAAGAGAAGATAATTATAGTTAAACTCATGCTTACGTAACACTACTGCAATCCAGTAAAGAATAGCACAACTTATTGAAACAAGTTATGCTTACAGCAGATTGTTTTTAGTTTTCTTACTCACTATTGTTATTTATTGTTTATTGCATATTTTCCATACACGAAATTCCAAAAAATATTAAACTTATGAAGATTTAATTTTGTTTGGTGGTAGAGTATGACTAGGAAATTAAAATATGATTTGAGGAAACTCCACCCTTGAGTGGTATAATGGGGTAAAGGTTTGAATGGAAGTAAGTCATTTCTAACCAGAAATAACCATGTGATAGAAATTGTTGGTAACTAACATGACTCTGCCAGCGTAATGTTAGTTACCAACAATTTCTATCACTATACTAAACTCATAATTAATTCTTTAAATTAAACTAACCTTTACAAAATTATTGTATGGTTTTTTAGCAGGTCCAGAATCTGCTTCTCCTTCAGATGCTTTCCTTTTCTTTCCACCTTGGAAGCTGTCATTCTAAAAATAAAAGAAATCAAATTTTGATTACTATTTCCATAAGTTACTCAATTTCAAGTTTTTATTTTTGTACCTACATGATTTTTAGCCTTTTTAACAGGTGGAGCCTCCTCTTCGTCACTACTGTCTTCATCAGAAGATTCAGCTTTTTTCACTGGGGTTTTAACCTTAGCTGAAACTACTTTTGGTGCTGGCTTTTCATCTTCACTGCTATCGTCTTCACTATCTGATGTATCGTCTTTCTTTGGTGCTGGTTTTGCTGGAGTCTGTGGCTTAGCTGGTGCTTTTTTTGCAGGTTTCTCATCTTCACTACTATCGCTCTCATCTGAAGAATCTGCTTTAGCAGGTGCTTTATTTGCTGGTTTCACTGGTGTTGGTTTAGGTATTGGCACAGCTTTTTTAGGTTTCTCATCCTCACTACTGTCAGATTCATCTGATGATTCTTGAGCTTTAAGTTTAACAGGGGTTTTTGCCGAAGTGGGCTTAGCAGACTGTTTTTGAGTGGGTTTTTCATCTTCACTACTGTCATCTGAGGACTCTTGTTTTTTGGATATAGTAACTTTGGTAGCTTTAGTAGGAATGGCTTTTGGAGCCTGTTTTACTGCAGGTTTTTCATCATCACTACTGTCATCAGAAGACTCTTGTTTTTTAGCTGACACAGCTTTAACAGGTGTTTTTCCAGGAGTGCCCTTAGCAGGCTGTTTTTGAGTTGGTTTTTCATCTTCACTGCTGTCATCACTGTCATCTGAGGTTTCTTGTTTTTTAGCTGGAGTAGCTTTAGCAGGAATGGCTTTTGGAGCCTGTTTTACTGCAGGTTTTTCATCATCACTACTGTCATCAGAAGACTCTTGTTTTTTAGCTGACACAGCTTTAACAGGTGTTTTTCCAGGAGTGGCCTTAGCAGGCTGTTTTTGAGCTGGTTTTTCATCTTCACTGCTGTCATCACTGTCATCTGAGGATTCTTGTTTTTTAGCTGGAGTAGCTTTAGCAGGAATGGCTTTTGGAGCCTGTTTTACTGCAGGTTTTTCATCATCACTACTGTCATCAGAAGACTCTTGTTTTTTAGCAGGCACAGCTTTAACAGGTGTTTTTGCAGGAGTGGGTTTTGCAGGCTGTTTTTGAGCAGGTTTTTCATCTTCACTGCTGTCATCACTGTCATCTGAGGACTCTTGTTTTTTAGCTGGAGTAGCTTTGGTAGCTTTAGCAGGAATAGGTTTCGGAGCCGGTTTTTGTGCAGGTTTTTCATCTTCACTGCTATCACTATCATCTGATGAATCTTTCTTTTGAGGTGCCACTGGCTTTGGAACTGGATTAGGTTTGATCTGAAATGTAAATCTCTGGTAAACAAAAGTTTGATTCAATATACTTTACTTAGAATGTTGATAATATTCAGAGGTAGTGACGAAATAAAAAATGAATTTTATCACAGTTTTTCAATTATAGAGTATCATCATGACTGAGTATCAGGGTTGGGAAAAAAATCATGATTTTCAAAATAAATTACAATTAACCTGATTTGTTTATTTTTTCATCAACCATAGTTTTACTATATTTTTGCAAAAAACGGATCGCGCATTTAAGGTGTTAGTAGAGCTGTAGTCCAAGCCTGTGAAAAATTATGAGAATAAAAGTATTTTTTTTTATGTTGATTTCTTTGACAGAATGTAAAATTAAACTCATTTGATTAAATCCGATTTTCATTGAAAAAATAATTTGATTTAAATTGTGATTATCAAAATAATTTAATTGTCCCAACCCTGTTAGGAATTATTGCACAAAAATTGAGAAATATCTCACCTGTGTTGGTTTCTCATCATCAGAACTATCAGAGTCTGACTTTTGCTTTTTCTTTGTTACTGGAGTTTTCCCATTTGCTGGAGATTGAACTTTTTTAGGTTTTTCATCTTCAGAAGATTCCTCTGAACTGTAATAAAATATAGAAATTTGTATTTGACAATTTATTGGTGCAATTTTAAAATCTAAAATATTCATCAATAGTTTCTACTACCCCTCTTTTTCAAGCCCAGTCTTGTGAGGGGAAATAATTATATTAATAGCCAAAGGCTAGCTCTAGCCTATCCTATGGGACAGATATAATATAGCGAACAGATACCTTAATAAGGGTATAGCCCGTAAAAGTTTTACAATTATGAAAACTATGATAGTTTTGTGAGCTTGCACTGGTAGTAAGGGGACTGCTTTATTGCTTTCAATACAAATAAACAGTGTTTAAATTTTATCATTAAATCATTTGCGTCTTCTTAAATTTTAAGTATATTTGGTTACCTTTCATCAAAATGGACATAGAAACATAGTTTACAATTACGAAAACTATGATAGTTTTTGTGAGCTCAATCTCATACTAAGGATACTGGGATCTTGTATATTTGTAGCTTGATATAAAGTTAATGTAATTTGAAACAAATTTTATTGTTTTCTCATTTTGCACAAGAACAAAATGGAATGGAATTGCTTTAGAATGTCGAAGTAGTTAATATAGATAATGTCATTTTTTTTTATAATTAAGAAAAAAATATATTTATCACAAAACATAATTTAATTAGAAAATAGCAGCTCAACAAACACTAGCTCATTTAATTTGAATAAAATGAAGTACTACCACAGTGTATTTCTGATAATTATAATCACTTGACAAAAATAATGTGAGATTTCTCTAATGTTTTAACTAACAAACAAATAATGTATTACAAAAACCATTAAAAAAGTTGCTCTCTAACTCTAGCCCCCTTATTAATAAACAAGGAATAAGCTAAGACTAGTTACACCATGTTTTGTTCATGTCACTCAAGTTCCATTTGTAATTAAATGAACAGAGACAAAAGATAAGAGTAACTTATCCAATCTTATTCTTCATTTAATAAAGGGGGATGTGTTTATTGTTACACTCATTGACTGTAGCGTTAACTCAAACTTAAACACATTTCTTAGATAAAGCTAACGAGAATCAGTGTACTAGCCACTTGGCAATATCGGATGATTGTAAAATCCATTTATTTATGTATGTATTTAATAAAGGACATGCAAAAGTTAATGCTATTATTCTGCCAACTATTTTCTGTTTACAAGTGATAATTATGTTCAGAAATTAGACTTGCAATGAATATTTGGTTACTATTCAGTATTCGGGTGCTTTTATTATATTCAGCTGAATACCGAATATCTACATATTATTTGGCTGAATACCGAATACTTAAATAATATATTTTGTCATAGAGAAATAATTTCATTTTTTCATTTTTGTTATACAATCATTTAAAATAGTCATTGGTACACAACACAGGCACATAATCATCTTCGAAATTGGAAAAATGGACGATTCTTTGTATGTGAATTATTGTGCTAATCAAAATTTAGAAGGGTAAGGTTCACATTTCTTTTATAATAATTTATTAACTAGTCATTGGTACATAAAACAGGTACATAATTTAATCATTTTCTGTATTAAACAAGTTAACAGTTTTTAATTCATTCAGTCATGTGATGAATGGTTACTTAATAGAAATAATTTAAAGTTTACGCGCCGTTTTTGGCCATATCTCAAAAGTTGGTTTTGTCATTTAGCCGCATTTTAGCTTGAAGACGGCAGATTAGAACAAAACAAAGGAGCGCGAAACAATCACGTCTGTACAAGTTTTTGGCGAATACTTTTGCCTAATATTGGGCTATTCGGTCAGGAGCCTCGCCGAATATTCGGTATACTGCCGAATATACTATTCGTTGCAAGTCTATCAGAAATATGATCCTGAAAACACATAAGCATATAATTCAGAACTTACCTTGAACCAGCTTTTTGTGTTTTAGTTTCTAGTTTTTTCAGTAGATTTACAAAACGTGGTGGCACCGTTATTTTATCGCGTTTCTGAAAAAAAATCATTTCACACTCTTTAAACAATACAAAAACAAGGGAGAGGATTATATCTCTGAATACAAGGATATAAAATCAACGGTAGTGAGGAATTAGATAGGTCAAACATAAAAATTTCGATTACCATTCATGACACAAAAGGAAATAACAGCAATAGTAGAAATGCTAAAATCAGACGAAGTCATGTTTAAACAGGTTAAAGTGCCCATAATAACTGCAAAAATAATTTAGAAAAATGAACACGTGCGACATAGAACTACACCACACGTGGTCCATGTTGCCGAGATACTTACCGATTTTAATATTTGTTGAAACCTTGACGCTATTTCCTTATCGATATTTTTAGCGAACTCTATGAAGATTGAAATCGCTTCCGCCTTAAAATCCGTAGGGACTCCCATTTTTATATAATACAATAATTAAATCTATATGGGACGCAATTACAACCTCGACGACCGGCACAAAAAGACAAATAAAAAATCGGATCAGTCAGATCCAGTGTTGCCAACTCGGATTTTGAAAAAGGCGTAGGCCCGATGACAAAATTACGTAGAATTTGTAAAATTTGCATATGAAAAGTTCGTAAATTTACGTATTTTTTTCTGAGAGAAAAACGTTAAAACGAGAATTTTATACAATTTATTTTAATAAAGGAGATAGAACATAGAATTCTTGGAGAAGACGCAACATTGGCAGCATTTACCATGCTGTGGTAGACATTTACCATCAGACAGACACTGACGCTGCTAGGTGTCAATTTTGGCATAATTCTCTAAACTGAGTACTAAATTTAACTCTCCTTTTCATTCTGTATAAAGAATGACAAGAACACACTGTTATCAAATAGGGTACTTGACACTTTTTGAAAATATTTTTTTAAATGGTTAATAATTGTTATATTAGACCGAAAACAATGTATTGTAGTAATTATCATGATTGTATTATGCGAGAATGTAGAATCACAACGTTAAAGACTCCAGAAAAGTTGTGGTTTAAATTGCCCAGAGAAATAAACATGTGTTCATGTGTAGAAACATTAAAGTCATTTCTTTTTGCAAAGATCACTTCGGTTTAAGTACTGATTCAATAATATTTTAAGTATAAAAATAAAATTTTTAAGTTTATTAATGTACCTACTAAGTAAGAGAGCTTTGTCGTTTCTGCTTTTACAAATTCGGCGTTCAGCATTAATTTAGTCAACAAAAACAATAAACGGAAACTCTTCTACAAGATATAAGAGTCTTTAGATATATTTTAGTCCGACGAAAGGAACCATAGTAACACAACAATGACGTTTAGTTGTTTACAAATTTTGTGACGTCACAATCATGGGACCCCGCAATTCTTACGGGCGCTTTACAGCATAATATCCGCTAAAAAAATCCTGCGAATACCTCTACACTGCTTAGTGCGGAGCCGCAGGGTCCCCGTTAGGGATTCTACCACGGTTCCGCCCCCAGCAGCTTCCCGGCCTCGCCGGGGCTCCACGGCAGGGGTCTCCCGCGGTATTACGGGGACCCCGCAGACGTGCGCAGGTAGGCCCGCGCGGTCTAAGGAACCTAAATATATCGATTTCACTTCATAAAAGCAGAAGATTGCTGTAGAAATTTAATTCAAAAAAATATTTTTTAGTCTATATTTTCTAAACACTAAAAACGCTGTTCGCCACATCCGCCATGATTGTGACGTCTCTTAAGGTAAACAACTAAATGTCATTCACGTGTTACTGTGGGTGGATTCTTTCGTCTGACTAAATTTATCTTAAAACACTTTTAACTTTAGAAAAGTTTCCGTTTACTGTTTTTTTTTTGAAAAAACTAATTATGGATGCCGGCTTTGTGAAAACAGAAAGAACAAATCTGCCAAGAATTGACGCATTGATGGTTGGTGAATTTATTGCACTAAACCCCGATTTCTGCTCTGCAGAGCAGAATTCAATTTGGTATTCTGTAATGACACACTATCTCTAAATTTAAAATTGACGTCGCTAAGTTATTCAACTTAAATTTAGATGATTAGATGCATAGATGAATGGTTGGTCTCGCTTCACTCGACTAGATACCGCCGGCGTACTAGTCTAAGGGTGCGGCCAGAGTGCACTCAGATTCAGACTCAGATTCAGATTTCGAAAACAAGCGCGAGAAATAAACAGTGTAGTCGAAGGGTACGGCCAGATTGCACTCCTGATTCAGATTCAGACTCAGAAAACAAAGCGCGAGAAAAAGCAGGCAACCTGCTTAGACTACACTGTTTATTTCTCGCGCTTGTTTTCAGAATCTGAATCTGACTCTGAATCTGAGTGCACTCTGGCCGCACCCTAAGGGTACAGCCAGAGTGCACTTAGATTCAGATTCAGATTCCGAAAACAAGCGCGAGAAATAAACAGTGTAGTCGAAGGGTGCGGCTAGAGTGCACTCAGATTCAGATTCAGATTCCGAAAACAAGCGCGAGAAATAAACAGTGTAGTTAAGGCAGGGTGGCCATAGTGGCCGCAGGCAACCTGCTTAAACTACACTGTATATTTCTCGCGCTTGTTTTCTGAGTCTGAATTTGAATCTGAGTGCACTCTGGCCGTACCCTAATGCGGCAACAAATACTATGCCGAATACCCGAGCTTTCACCGAGTCAGTCAACCTGACAGTTGTGTACGGGGTGTACGTAGTGAATGTTTTATTAAAATTTGGTGTTAATCGAAAGTAAAATGCCAGTTTATTTAGTAAAATAATACAACAATAAATAACAAAGACGGTGGGATCACATAACATCAATAATTATAGTAAAATTTCGAAATTTTTACATAAAATAACATGAACCCTAATCGTCATTCAGGTGTTGCAGCGTATACAAGAATCAAAGTCCCTATAGTTGAGATTTTTATTTATAATGTGAATTTATTGTGAGTGTAATTTATTATTGAACCTATGCTATTGAAACTTACTATTAAACTTGCAATTAAACTTAACCTAGTTTTATATTATTCAACGTTTATCTTTATAATCTACCTTTTATTCCTTTGATAATGTTATTATTTTTAATAACAATTTTTCAACACTTTTTCTCGTAAACTGACTCTTATTATTTACACAGTTTTTAGTTTCACAATTCATTAAATAAATATTTAATTAAGTACATCTTCTTCAAGTGTTTTATGAGCTACATTTATAACCTGGTACATATTAATTATAGCCTAAAATATTTTCCCTATTACTTGGGTAGCAGTTGAGTAGCTGGCTACACGATTTCTGACATTTGATAGCATCATTGCAAATTAACATACACACACTACAATAATGAGTTGCCGCATTTATGGAGCTGATGTTTTTTGACAGCGCGGTATCTAGTAGAGTGAAGCGAGACCAATCATTCATTAGGGTGCGGCCAGAGTGCACTCAGATTCAGACTCAGATTCAGATTTCGAAATCAAGCGCGAGAAATAAACAGTGTAGTCTAAGCAGGTTGCTTGCTTTTTCTCGCGCTTTGTTTTCTGAGTCTGAATCTGAATCAGGAGTGCGATCTGGCCGTACCCTTCGACTACACTGTTTATTTCTCGCGCTTGTTTTCAAAATCTGAATCTGACTCTGAATCTGAGTGCACTCTGGCCGCACCCTTAGATGGTATTCTGAAACGCGTTCTAAATGTCATATTTTCTCTAAAATTAAAAATTTCACGCTAAATTTAAGAAGGACTTATGGAGGTCCTCTCTGTATTTAAATGTGAATAATTGAGGCCAAAAATTAGGTAAATGATTGCTGTACTTAAGTTTTGCATTTGTTGTTAAGGTTAGATATGGATTTATTTCGTTAAAAAAGTCATACATTTTATACAATAATGAACGACGACGGTGATAATAGTAAATTAGCTAGATCTTTTATTTTTTTTTAAAAAGGTAGGTAAGTCTATGTTACGATACGGATTTATTATAAGCCTATTAAGGTGTCATCAGCCACCACGCGGGCCTAATGCGGCTTAGTGGGGGCTAACGGCTGCAAGTTAGGAACTCGATATAATACATTTTTGGTTGGTCACCCATCCTAAGATCGGCCATTGTGAAAGTTGCTTAGCGTTCACGATTGCAGAAAGAACGCGTTACACTTGCGCTTTTGTGGTACTTCGCAGGTAATGTATACATATATCTTGTATAAAATACTAAATAATTTAAGGTAAAATCTTTTTTAAGATAAATAAAAATCCACTTCATATAAAAACATGCTAAAAAGGTGAGAAATCTATGTACCAATTCTTAAAGTAATACTTACAGTACCTTCTTATATTTAAAGTAACTACATAGTCAAACAATTAACAATATAATAGGTATGGTGTCAGTGACATGCATTCCAATCCAAATATTATTTTGACTTTAAATGTAGGTACTTTAGACTTTAATAATGTGATTCAACTAAAAATAGGACCGACTGGGCGCCATATGGTGACGTCATAGATGTCAAATCAAACCAAAAAAGTGAGCAAAAAAAGTTTTTATTTAATAAAATTTATTTACTCTGATATATGAAGTGAGAAAAAACATCAGAATTTTTCTTAGCATTGTAAACTCCTTACGACTTAGTGTTTTGTTTTCGGTAAGCATGCAGCATTTGGTTTAAAATATATAATTTACGAAGTGACCAGATCGAGGCTTGGGACACTCCACGAAAATCAAAGAATGTGGGGGTATTTCATTTTTTTTATTGATATTAATTATAACGATAATTAAATAATAATCAGTAACCCAGTTAAAAGAGAGGTTATGAAGTTTGCGCAAAAAATAAATGGTTTGCTTCGATTGCCATTATTTTTAAGCAATGCCGCTTGAAAAACGTGCCCAAAAGAATGACCCGTCTGTCGTCACTGATCATCCTTAATATATTTGTTTGGTACCAAAATCTAGTTGGTACCTATATTTAAATTTAATTCTAAAAGTGGTGGCTTTCCCTAGCCTTTTGCCAAAAAAAATACTTAGGCATGCTCTGAGAAAAAATATAATTTCTAAAGTTCCCCCCGCAGATTTAATTTCTCCAAGTTCATATTTTTCCCCAAAATAAGGCTAAACACTCCTAATCTAGAAACCCTAAGTACCACAGAGTAGGCACCTACCTACTGAATACAGTTTGTCTATAAAGTCGTGACATTAAATGATGGCGCCACTAGTATGCATGTAGCAACCCTATACAGTCGGATCAAAATGATTTTAATACTAGCAGTTCATTCAAGTGCAATGGGCAATTAATAAGACACACTATACAGTCGTATTTTGTTTCTGTTTTATATATAGTAGGTACTATGTTTATAAAAAGTTTGGCCAAGCATATTTAATTGAATCAGAATAAAATTATTATAGATAAAATAGTACTTTATAGTGTAAAAGTGTGTAATGTGGGTGATTACCGCTGAGGTGCCATTGAGACCAGAGCCGTTAGGTAATCATCAATACACACAAGTATCATCATACGACGTTTTTTAACACACTTCTTAAGAAAATAATACTATAAATCATTTTATAGTATATA